TTAAAGTCCACCTCACCCAATTTTTTTTATATTTGTAAAGAAAAGACTTTTGTCATAGTAACAACAATTTGTACAAACAAATTTGATTTCGTTTATTTAAACTACATTTTGAAGCGAAAACAACCGCGGACAAAGCCAATTTCGGGATTCCTGTGTGCCTGATCAATGTCTTCGTGATGACGTAGAGGGAGTAAGTCGTTCGAGAGACAACGATAGATACCTACAGTGAAATGACAGTAAAAATCAAATCTGAAACAAGAGAACCTGGAATTTGAACAGCTGTAAATACTACCTACATATATTGAAAGAAGTTACTTACCTGGGGCCGTAAATAACTTTTCCTGTTCCTCGATATTTATCTAGATCTATACGCAACACTTGTTTGTCCAGAATAATCTCTCAACACTTTGGCTCCATTTTTATAGCCAAGACATGAAATAACGTTCAAATCGTCAGAATAATCTCTAGTAGCATTAGATTTGCCGTTTCAGGCTGGATTATCCCACGTTCAGTCTTAGAAAACATAGATTTGTAATGAAATATGTGGAACTTGTACAGTAAACTTTGTATTTACCGAAGGGCGAGTTACTCCATCTACGTCATCAACCCAGGCTCCCTCGCACTCGGCCAAAAATCATTTGGCCGAATTAAACGAGCATAAAAAATATAAAATTTGGAAATTCGAATTTTTTTTATGTGAATTTGTGGTTTATAACTCCTAAACTTTTTTTTCCAACTGTAAAAAAAATTGGGTGAGGTGGACTTTAATAAAGTTGACAAATGAAAACACTCAAATGGTAGATATCAAAGCCAAAGATAAACTCTGAAAGTTTCACAGAAAAATATTAAATCCTCTTGAAGTTATAAGGGTTAGAAGAGGTACAAAAACACCAAAACCAGACTACCCAGTCACTAGCAAAGAATTCCATACAAATCTCTGTATTTTTATTCCTCGATAACTTTGTTAGTATTCAGTCCATGACTTTAAAACTTTCCATGAATACCTATTTCTAATAGTTCTTCCATATGACAGTGTTGAATGTTTCCATAATATTATAAATTGTATAAAATCGATGGTAGGCACTTATGAAAGTGGTCTATGTTTCATCTTAAAAGAATAATGACAATTTTTCCCTTTTGTTTTGAACAGGCCTATTGGATTGCATCTTCCAGGAGTTGAAAGCCTACCCCTCCCTGTTCACTGCCTTTGGGTCCTCAGTAATATTATTAGCTAAGTCTACATTATTGACAGCACCAGGGCAAGAGGAAAAAGCAAATAATCAATATAACACCAGAATAATGACAAAGCAACATTGTTTTTGGATTTGAGCCACTGATGTAGAATTAGTATGATGCTAATATCTGATCGATTCAACCAGGGAAAGCATTCTAGTAAGTCGTCCTTCTATCAAAGACCATGCCCAACAGTCAGAGAAACATTCTTTTTTTACTTACTGTCAGTTGGTTTGATGATGATAGCATTCATAAGTCCTTTTCCTCGKGCCTTTTCAACAACAGCAGGGTTAAGTTTCTTCATCTCAGCAAGGAATACTTTACCCAACTCTGCTGAACGATCACAAAGCTTTTCTTCTTCTATGACCTGGATTCATTTAAAGGATAATTCACATGAATGTATTTTGTGATTATTTTCACTCAAATGTACACAACACTAATCAGCAATTTGCAGCAACTTCTTAAGCAAAGCATGATAGTGAAGGTAGTCTTTCCACGTGTTCAAGTACATAAAAATACTCCAGATTAATCTGTTTTGTGAGTTCTCTTTGCAAAGATACAAGTAATTTTCCTATTTCTGAAAACCAAACAACACAATAGCGAAAAAGAGAGGATTATCTTAACAGAAGATCAGAACATCATGCCTTGTTAACTCTCTGACAATTAATACTGAGAAAAAGTACCTTTTCATGAAAAATTGTAATTAATGCATGTTTGTAAGATAATGGTGTAGCTAGGAAATGTTGCAAGTGTTTGACTACCAAATAAGCAAGTGGTTTCACTGCAAAGTTTTGAGCATTTTTGACATCAATTTCATTGTCAATAAGAGTACAGACAATGGAAAACTGCCTGTGAATTGGTTTTATAATAGCAAGTAGATTTTTCCATTTAAATCATTGTTTATTTTGCAGGATTCTGTGTTGTTTTTTACTTGTAAATTGTTTTATGTGACATGTGTGACTGGTATACATGTCACTGCCATTGTCTAAACTCTCAGTCACAATAGCTCTCAACCAAGCAGCGAGAGAAATATACAAGTTATTATAAAAATGCAGTTGTCTAATAACACAGCTAATAATAAGCTCACCGTGAGTGAAGCCATTCCTACTTTTGCAGCAATAGGGTTCCCACCATAGGTTGATCCATGCTACCATAATGAAAATCTATGATTTAGATTTCAAAATTATTGGTTTAACCCCCTCCCCCAAATGAAAATTAACAGCATGTTAAGATGCTAGAAATATGTACCTGGCCAGGCTTGATTGACAACATAACTTCATCATCAGCAAGAACAGCTGATACCTGAATATAGACACAAAAGTTGTATAATATTGTAAAATTATGTTAGCACTTCCCATCTCTGACCATTTTTTTCAATATTGTGTGGAAGCGTGGTTATATGGGCATGTCATGAAAGRACAACAATGACYAAAGATCTGGGAAAATATGCATCTTGTTGCAGTAAGTGTAAAAAAATTGTCAAYACTGTTSTTTGTTTACTGGCCATGGTCTTTTTGATTTTTGTCCACTATTGTAGGCTGAATGAAAGAAACAAAGCAAAGGACAYAGARAGCGAAGGGAGGAAAAGGAGAAATKCAAATGAAACAAATAATAATWATTATTRATCACCAAAAATCACTAATATTCCCCAGTCTTTTATATTGTCCACTTACAGGGTAAACTCCACCAGACAAAGCTTTCCCAAGAATCACTAGATCAGGTCTGACATTGTCATGATCTACACAAAGCAGTTTCCCTGTTCTCCCAAGACCAGTTTGAACTTCATCAGCAATRAACAAGACGTTGTACTTAGTGCAGAGTTCTCGTACACCTTTAAGATATCCTTCATCAGGTACATTTACACCAGCCTCCCCCTGGATTGGTTCAACCATGAATGCACAGGTATTRGGGTCACTTATTGATTTCTGAGGGGGAAAAAGAAGCATTTATTTACTTTGACTGCTAAAATAAGACAAGGAATCCTTGAGAACAGTCAATTAGATTTGACATTGATTATCRTACTTGACTTATTCCGATACTTGGAGTTGCACTCATAACCTTCCATACTTTATTGTCAGTAGTGACCAATCATCTATATTTTCTCTTAAGGCTGATTTACACGGTACAATTAATCGCGCGCGACTTGTAGTATACGATTTTCCTACTGCAAGTCGTAGGATTTTAAGCAGTGGTTCAAAGTCCTACTACAAGTCGTAGCTTGCGTACGACTGTTGTAGACAAGTTGTAGGGGCATTTACACTGTGCGATTCAAGTCGTATACTACAAATCGCACGAGACAATCGTGCCGAGTAAATCAGCCTTTAGAGGTTGACATGACATACAACTGTAAAACAATCACGTCTGCGATCATTTCAAGTTTCTCTTGTTATTTACTCTTGATTGATGACAAAATTTTGTAAGCTGGTCTGCTTGACCTTGTTGATATCTTTCTCATGCATGTCCATGGGGAACTTTTGAGTAACATTTGTGCAGAAAAGTTTGTCCTCAATCAAAGGAAAACACAGCAAGAGAGACTTGGGGCAAGTCTACCAGCCCACCATGAAATGCTAAGTTTATCTCAATTTCTGAATTTTAAATCATAATTTATCATTCGTTATCTTCAATGCATCACAGCAATAACTAGGCAATGCATGTCATCCCCCCCCCCACCTTAACTACGCTCTCCCCCCGACTTCTCACCTCCAAAGCATCCAAGTCATTGTAAGGAATAAGCTCCATTCCAGGCATGTAAGGTCCAAACCCAGCATAACAATCAGGGTCAGTAGACGATGAACATGCCGCTAATGTCCTMCCCCAAAAGTTCCCCTCGGCGAAAACTATCTTTGCTTGGTTGTCTGGAATACCTTTGACCGTATAGCCCCACTTTCGAGCCAACTTGCAGGCYGTCTCGCCACCTTCTACTCCAGTATTCATGGGAAGAACTTTRTCATAACCAAATAACTTAGTCACAAATTCTTCGTACTCTCCTAGGACATTGTTGTAGAAAGCTCTTGATGTTAGAGCCAGWGTATCAACTTGTGTTTTGAGCGCTTCTATGATCTTTGGGTGCGAGTGTCCTTGATTGACGGCCGAGTACGCGGCTAAAAAGTCAAAGTATTTTTTTCCTGTAACATCCCAAACGTAAACTCCCTTTGCTTTAGCCAAGGCCACAGGTAAAGGATGGTAGTTATGGGCACCATATTTGTCTTCACGGGCAAACACTTGCTCGGGGGACAGTTGTGAGTTGAAGACAGCCGAACTTGACAGTGTACGACCTACGAGCACACGTGAAACGTGGCGAAACGAAATTGCACGGAGCATGGCGTTAAACTCTGTCAGAAAGTCGTGAAAAAACAAATAAATATACTTAATTTCAACTCAAATKTGTTATTCACWGGCAATAATTATGGATTTTTAGTAAATTTAGGGTCACAAACCCGTCAAAGTTCGACACTCTTCAACAACACAACTCGAAAAGAACGGGTGAGAGCAGTGAGTTATGGGTCAAGGTTGATGGCGACTATGATTGGTGGGATTTGTCATGTGATTTATCAGTGGGGGCACCTGCAGGGCTTACGCGCGAAATGCAAAAAGATACAACAAAATTTTTGAGAGTTTGGTATCAACATGAAGTCTCCCTCTATTAACTATGGTATCAATCAAAAAGAAAGCCTGCTCAGACCTTTCCCGCCATTGATCTTCACCCGTCGAGACCAAATAAAAACAAGTGAGGTTTAGTTGTCAAGTAAAATAATATACTTTCGAACACGATGCATGAACGATGCATTGTGGGATGCGTTGTTCCCTCTGAAACTGACAGAAGGCCAGTGATGCCGGACTAAATTCAAGGGATGGATGAAAACTAGTATTAAATATAACCCCCCAAGAGACGCAAATACTGCGTCATTTACCCGTCATTTACTTTCTTGAAGAAATAACTACGAGGCTTGCAAACTTGAAGATTAAGACCCCGATTTGATGACACACTTACCACTACCAGCCTGGAAATGGCTCGACAAACCATACTAATACTCCCCTTAGTTTGGACGGCAATTTCTCATATGTATTTAATTTCTTATATAAAAAAGACTTTCACTAGTCTAAATCAGTTCTTGCACTTTGGAGCCTCGTCTCCTGTTGTTTCTTCATTTGGAACACACCCAACTGAAAAATATCTCTGATTCGTACCGGTCTCTGGACATACATAGCCGTCCGGTCCAGTAATGTGTGATTACGAACTACTTTACTGTACATCATATCCCACATGAAAACCTCGCTATCATACAGCTAGCCTGTGTACATCCGTTTCTCACCCCTCAAAAAATCGGATTTTTTGAGGGGTGAGAAACGGATGTACACAGGCTATCATGCAGCCATTGCTTAAGCTTCCGGGACCATTTCTTATCCTAGGTGATACGGTGGCATGACATTGGGATTTCCCGTCATCACCGGTTATCAGGGTTATTTTCTTCGTATACGGTTTATTCTATTCGTATATCAGTAATCTAATTCACAGGTTCAGTGCCGAGTATCAAAAACGAAGTTTAAGGACTTTTCAAGGACTAAAATTGCATTTTCAAGGAATATAATCATGCTAATTGTACATTCTTACCTCACAACTTCAGCCGAACGGAATAATTATCATCATCGCTATATCGCTTCGTGATACAGATCTATCCTTTTCAAGAAGTTTTCAAGGACTTTTTCGAAATTTTGAAATTTTCAAGGAGTTTCAAGTGCCCTTGAAAAAGAGTTTTCAATTCAAGCACTTTTCAAGGATTCAAGGACCCTGCACGGACCCTGAATTCAGTAAAAAATACAACTGTATAACTGTTTATAAAATCCTTTATTTCCATTTGACTCTTACATTGTATCACCTCGACCAAGAACACTACATTTGACGTCGATGTACTTCAGCCACGTTTACTCCGTTTAAAATTCTTAAAAAAGTCAATAAATAATTCAAGATAAAAAGCTAAAAATTCATATTACTTTTGCAGACAAGCACTAGCTTGCTGGTCCAGTTCATTTGATGCTTCATTCTTTATTTAAAGCCCTTTGTTAAAATATACATGATCTAACGAGTCACCATATTTGTCTTTGATTATTTCTCGTAGATGGGGCTCAAGATGGCTGACTTTGAGAGAACTAAAGTTGAGCAAYAAGAAAGGAATCATTATAGTAAAACATTTAAAAAGGTAAATAAATGCACAAAAAATCCTGGGTTAGATGAGGTTCTAGGGGAGTAACCGTCTGTCTTTTTATTTAGAAGCTAAGTGCACACAATTTCTTGAGGTGCCGGAACTAGTGGACCAGCTGCGCGCTTAAGGCGGTAAAATACGAGAGACAAAAAACATCAACTTGGCGCGCAACATCGTTTCTGTTCAAGTTCGATGTTTCTCGTTTTTCATCGTGCGCGATCAAATTGGCACGCAACAAAATAGTCTGTTGCGAGGTTGATTTTGTTGAGTGCCAAGTTTCAATCTCGATGAAAAACGAGAAACCAAGCCAACATTTGTATCTGAAAGTAGAGCGAGAGTCTACTTTGCGCAACAACTTTCTTCAACTCGCAWCAGAGGAAGTGGACGACGTTTTACAGTGAAGAGATCAATGTAAAGACCCATGGCACTAAGAGATACATAAAATAGAAAAATGTGCCATGAGGTCCTTACATTCATATCTTTACATTCTAAAGGCCGATTTAGACGGTACAACTTTTGCCTACAACTATATCGCATTCAACATGCGTAAGTCATCCTTACAACATGGCTACAACTGTTGTAGAGTTTCAAAACAATTGTTTGATAGCCCTACGACAGCTGTAGCCATGTTGTAAGGATGACTCACGCATGTTGCATGCGATATAGTTGTGGGCAAAAGTTGCACCGTCTAAATCGGCCTTAATTACCGCAAACTAAGATCTATTTCACCGCGACCAGTGTGCTCCCAGTCTGACCTTGTATCTCAGCTGGTAGAGCTAGAGAGCATCGGTAGTATAAATTCGAGGGTCGTGGGTTTGAATTCCCAGACAGTTCGGAAATTTCTCCGGGTTTATTTCCAAGGTTCTTTCTACGGGAATAACCTCCTTCCCAGCACTMTAAAGGCCGATTTAGACGACACAACTTTTGCTACAACCATCGCATGCAACCTGCGTAAGTCATCCTTACAACATGGCTACAACTGTCGTAGGGATTTTAAACAATTGCTTAATAGCCTCACGACAGTTGTAGCCATGTTGTAAGGATGACTGTATAACGCAGGTCGCATGCGATGGTTGTAGGGAAAAGTCATGTATCGTCTATATATAAATTGACCTTAATTTTCCTTTATTTCTATGTGAAGAGGGTCGCGGTTCAAYGTGCTGGTTTCTTTTGTTCCTTTTCCCTAGGTAACACAAAACAAAAGAGAACAGCACATGTAACCGGGCCAGCCCACTTCATGAAAATCCACGGGACTTTTCGAGCATCGAAACTGCAATTACCTAAATTTTACAATTTGTGAAATGTTCTCGAAATCCAAATTTCCATTTCGAATTTGTGTAAAATGAAGTCATGTTTTATTTTTGAAGGTTTCGCCTTCAAATACTGTGCCATTTTTTYCAAGCACGCCAATTCGTATTTGTGTTGTATATTTGAGTACAACAATCTAAASTCCTGCTTTTGTGAAGTATAACTGAAAAAATGCTCATCGAAATCAAACATACCTTTGCTGAGGAAAGATTGCACAGCATAGAGGAGTTGCAAAGACGAGACTGAAAARAAATGGAACATTAACACATTTTGATGAAAGAATAAAAACATATTATATAAAACATACATTATAAAAACCCGGACATATATCTACTCTCTTTAAGCTATTTTTGCAATTGGTGCAATTTTGTGCAAGCGGTGTTTATCTCTTTCGCTCGTGCATTCTCCCTTCGACAATCGCCGTTCTCCATGACAAAGTTTTTCGAATCTATTTGCAGAAACAAAGTTTCTGCTGTAAAGTAGGAAGAAATTCAGTTCAAAGTATCATACCATAGGCCAACAAGCATGACTTGTATTGGAGAAGCTAGGATAGGAAATCTCTGTAAATAGACAGGACATAATGAATGTTACTATTATACAATGATACATATACACTATGTAAAATGCGCCAAGTTTTGACAAAATGTCATCAAATGATTGAAATCATTTGTTCTGTTTCGTAATTCCTTACTAGTTCAGTCTGTTAGTGACTCTTGCGTTCAAATTTTGTGTCATTTTAATTCTCAGCGACATTCCCTTTGTTTCCCTATCTTTTTCTCTCTTTTTTTTTTTTTTACTTGAAACACTGGTCTTATTGCTTCATTTCATTCTGTTTTGTTTCATGGTTTCAGTTTATGCTGTTTTCTATTTAGTTAGATAACATTTCTGATAAATATTGTATTCTACTATGCATACAGTGACTTTACCTTCATAAATGGCTTGGTATCCAAATAATTCATTACAAACGGTGGTAAAACTACAATCCAAACAATTTTTTTAATTAGTTAAAAAAAAACTAGAAATAACAAAGTTACGTGCTATTGTCACTTACACATTCCAGGGGCAGCCATGCCTATTCTTGATAACACAACACTGCTAATAGCCTTCTCTGCAGCTCTCTGCAAATTAATGCATAATATTTAMGAAGAGGAAGCTWTATCRGCAGWAGCAAAGTGCACACTATATTTTTCCAAACAAATCACTGACCTGTGARTCACCTATTCTATTACCATCTTTATCTGTAACAGGGATCCCATGACGAATTTCTCTGATGAAAGAGTATATTTAACAATTAGACCTCGCGGTCGAGGGGACTACGAGCTAATAGCCTATGAGGCCAAGTTTGTGAGGCCGAATGGGCTATTAGCTCGTAGTCCACGAGGCCAAGAGGTCTAATTGTTTTAGTATAAACATACTAATCAGTCAAATAATGAAAACAAATTGAAATATCCTTAAAATAATTTATAATTTATTTATTTTGATTTTCCCGCGAGTGGTCTATCACAAATTAGACCATTAGCAGAGTAGCCAATCACAGCCAATCATTAGACAATCATACATACATGCAGACAGCATAGGAAAATACAGAATTTCCCCAGGGAATGGTATATTCATGGCAATTGTCAATATATATGGGCAATAGTGATTAGATTATCAAGCACAAGACATGAACAATATATGGTATGGGTGCAAAATCTCTACTCAACAGAACAAGTTACAGCCAAATGCACTAAACCTTAGTTATAACTAAAGGTGATGTCCAGTTAGGGAGCTACAATTACGATTATTAACTACATGTAAAGTATTGCATACTAGTTCTTTGGTAGATAGATATTTCCAGTCCAACAATTAATGGTTATTTTGTTTGATGGAAGGTATATCAGAGCTCGGTCAACAAGGGATGGCAGAAGAATGATCAAATGTCAGA